GTGCATGACACTGTGCGGCCACGTGGGGTGTGGTGGAGTCAGACAGGGGTCTGACTCTGCTCCCCACACTTACCACCCTCACCCCGCCATGGGGGAGGGTGAATTTGCTCTCTGCTTGAGCTGGGACACTCAGCCTGCCCCCGCCCTCAGACACGGTGCTCCCTGTTCTCAGGCTTTCGGGCTCACATCGGGATTCGCAGCACGGCCCCCTCGGCCTCAGACTGACCAACACCCCTCGCTTTCCTGCTACTGCAGCTTGCATCTGGCAGGTCCGGGGACTTCTCAGCCTCCATGACCGTGTGAGCCAATTCCTATAGGAAATCTCCTGTAATAAACCCTATTGTTTCCATTTCTCTGTTTCTCATGAGCCAGTCTACAAGAAATGTCCCACCTCAGTGGAACCAGACTCACAAAGGATAGAATCAGGAGCTCTGTTTAAAAAAAAGAGAAGAAGAAAGGAATGGATTTTATTAATCCATTTATGAATCCAGCTTCTTTTTCAAGGACTCTTGAGAAAACTAAAGAGCATCCCTCATTTTATTCTTATGAGCTAGATGGCTGCAGGGGAAGCTGAATAAATTCTTTGTGCCTCAGTTTCCCCACTATAAAACAGGAATGGTAATAGTCCCCATGTCATGGAGCCGTCTGGAGAGCTCAAGCGCTTCAAATGATGGTTGGCCCACAGTAAGAGGGCAGTGTAATTTCTTCTGTGGTTGTCATAATGAGGATTATTTCTTAAATTCCCAGCAGGAAAAATAAGGAAGTGAGCATCTGCACCTCCCCCCATCTCCCCTCACTCTCTAGTTCTCAATCTCAACTTGCTGTATTTTTAAATCACTGTTCCGCGATGGAGATTGATACAATGTACTCTGACCAGACTTTCCCCTGCTCCCTGGTCCCGGGTGGGCGTCATCATGGACCAAGCGCTAGCAGAAACGCGCGTGCCCTTTGTGTGCTGCTTCTCTCCCGCGCTGGCTCGCGGGGGCTCCTCCCCGGAGGTTTATTCCAGAACAGGCGCGCTGTCCCCCTCGGACCTTCCAGTTCTAAAATCGTCACCTGCTGCCTTTGTATCTGGATGGCAGTGAGCAGTTTCCGATCTTCCTGGGTCTGCACTCTTTCCTGCAGTTTCCTGGACACCACTCCACAGTCTTCTCCAGTAAATGTCCTGGAAACGTTGGAAATCACAGATTTCTTCTTCTCGTGGATCACCTGCTCTTTGGTCTTTGCTGTCGTGGTTCTGTTTTCTTCTTCAGGGACACCCAGACCTGCATGATGGACTCGTTCTGGTGTACAAATCTCTCCGTTTGTCCCCAGTAACATCCAGCTCTGAGTTCTCTGTCTGCTTTATTCGGGGCAGTCTTTCCAGGCTTTTCTCCAGCCTCCCTCCCTGAGATTCCGGCCACACCTGTTCCCTGGCATCTGCAAACTGATGACCCCTTCTGTGACGGTTTTTCCTCTTCTATGTTTTTCCCTGAATCTTGACAGTTCTTTCTCATCTTTTCCGCTGTAGTATAACCTCGTCTACGAGTTCTCGTAACTCTTCTCTAAAGCCCCGTTGCCTTTTTCCTGCCGGGGGGCAGATTTGGTGTGATCCTGGCTACATAGCAGATTGCCCCCAGGGCCCCCACCCTCCACCTGCCCTGTCTCCTGCCCACCCGTCTGACCAGCTTCTCCTCCAACCGCACCCACTCACCTCTGGGAGGAGAGGACTCGAGTGGGGGCCACCTCTGCTGCTCACACGGCCCCTAGAAGTACCATTCCAGGCTCTGCTGCTCGGCCATTCAGGATAAGGCCTCCTTCTCTTAGGGAAGTCTCAACCCGCTACAACCGCTCCAGGCATCTCCCCCCTCCCCCAACCCTTTCGTGTATCACCGAATTTGACAGCTAGTGATTTGGGACTGTGACCCCTCTCTGGTTTCAGGGATTTAAATTCTATTTTACTCTCATCTGCTTGGGTTGATCTCACACAACAGGGGGTGGGAGGGAGAAGAGGAAGGAGTCTGCCTTCTTACATCAGAAGTCCAAGACCCTTCTCTTAGCACGGTTACTCTCACGCCATGACCTCTACTAAGAGCTTACTAGGTAAACTCGTGTGTCGTCTACAAGCCTGCTCCTGACTCGCAATAATCCCAAGTGCTTAGCGGGACATATTTTCTCCAGTGTCTTATAGCTCAGGAGAGTGCATATCGATTAACCAGACTGGTTTCAAACCGGACCATGCTTGAAGGAGACGCCACCCTGTTTCACTTCATTTGAGAATGTTCTATTGCCGTTGCTTATGCTCAGCAAGGTTTCAAACCCAGAGGTTTGGGAGCCTCAGAAACCAGAGTCTGGCTTGAACACGCTCAGCTGAGACTGCATTGGTTCCTATGTGCTATCGAAAGCCGAAAATAGACCTACAAATGATGAAAACAGTCTGATCAAGTTCTTGGAGGATTTCTCCAGGATGTGATAGGGAATGTGAAGAAGCAAGCCATATGTGAAACCTGTTTTCTCCTGTGGCCAAATATTGGACTGAGAAACACAAACCAGCAGAAGCAAAACAGCATCAAGCTGTGTCAGAATTAGGAACTGCAATGGCTCAGCAGTTCTGAGGGTGAAAAAGGCTGATGTCTAGAGTTACATGAAGCGAAAGATGGTTGTTTCCCACGTAACCCAGATGGTCCAATGGGCGGGTCTCAGGGTAGCGGGGAGGAGCTGAGCCCAAGACTGCACCAGAACTGGAAAAGCAGGTGCTCCCCAAACCTGTTCTGTAACCTGTGGTTCGCCTGTGTTAGACTGTGCTTGCGTGTGAGTCTGGCCAAGAACATTCTGTCTGCATTCTTGTAATTCTGCATAAAGAAATGTCATAGGGGAGTGGCTTTCCCCGCGGATCCGCTGCAGGTGAAGTCCTAGCATGTGTGCACCCTGGCTCGCGGCTCTCCAGAGCTGAGGACTCTCTAGAATACAGAGGATGGGGCTATGCGGGGTTTAAAGCTGAGAAGGAGCACATCCAGGTGCGGTGGTGGCCCGGCAGACTGGGAGGCTCGCGGGCTCCATCCACATCATCCACAGTTCTCCCGATGCCCAGATGGACCCGAAACTCAGACAGTGAAGAAAATGAAGCTTCTCCCTGCTCCGTATCATACACCATGAAAGCCCAGAATAAAACACCATAAACAGTAGACCGGAGGCTTTTGCTCAGAACCTCATCCAGGACAGAGACTGGATCCTTGGGACCCGGGGCCTACAGGAGGCAACCGCTGACCCCTTGCAGCTCAGTGACAGCTAGGAACGGGGCGCAGGCTTTGACCTGTCTGGGGAGTTGCCCGTCCCGCCCCAGAACAGTGGCCAAGCCTCTCCGAAGGCAGTGCGTTCCCGATGGCTATCAGCTATCCAGTGATTGCTGTCCATATCCGGGCATAAAAACTGAGCACTGTCCTTAAGAGAAAATCGATCCTTTTCAAGAGTCTTAAAGGGAAGAAGGTTCTAGTAAAACAGGAGCTTCGTGTGCCCTGAGGGCCCCCCTCCCCCAGCTCATCCCCGTTGCTTCAGCGGGAGAGCTCCTGCACCCATCGCTCTGGAGCCTGAGGCCTCGGGCGTGTGGGGCTCTGGCGGGAAAGGGCCAGATCTTCTCCTTCTGAGCAGGGGAGTCCTCGCAGGTGCTTGCATGCTGCTCTTCAGCCATATCCGCTGATGGTGGGCACCCGGTCTTCCCTCGCGTCTGCTGTGCTCTAGCACAAGACACTCACAGAGCCTCTGACGGCAGGCGGTTCCCCACGAGCAACTCCGTGGCACCGGTCCTACAGCGTCACTCCCCTGTCGTCCACCCAGAGACAGCACCACATCCCACAGGCCACGGGCCCCGCCCCGCCAGACCGTCCCCGGGCCACATGCCAGTCGCGAGGCCAGGCTGTCACCCGCGCTTCTGACCCCCGGCTGCAGCTTGGACGTCCCCACGACCCCCTTGTCAAGCTCCACTGATTTGCTCGTGGCTCCCGGAGCTCGGGAGAGCAGTTTAGTTACCGTGTACCGGTTTGTTACCGAAGGATATGATAAAGGAGGCAGGCGAGCAGTGGGGAGAGGCATAGGGCGAGGTGTGGGGAGGGGTGGAGCTCGTGCCCTCCCCAGGGGTGCCCCTCTCCAGCACCCCTGCCTGTGCACCAGCCCGGAACCTCCCCGAACCCTCTACTGTTGGGGTTTTCATGGAGACTTCTCCACGTAGGCATGATCCATCCTTGGAGTGACCCTTTTCCAACCCCCTCCTCTGGAGAATGGGGCATGGGGCTGAAAGTTCCCAACTTCTGAGCATGGCGGGGTCTTTCCCGTGACCGGCTCCCCATCCAGGAGCCCCCCCGAGTCGCCTCGTTAGACGTTGTGAGAGTTGCGAGAGTTTCAGGAGCCATGCCATGGCCTGGGGACGGAGACGTCCATGTGTTTCTTACTGTGTCACGACTACAGCGTGTAATGCTCCCATTTAGTGAGATAGTGTGCCCAGAACTATGCTTTGTCCGATGCTAGGCTTACTACCTTACTTCTCATTTGGCCGATGTTTTCCTGGCAAGTCTCTTTCATCCTTTTATTTTCAACATCTGAGTGTTTTCGGAACTAGAGAGTACTATGCTAAGTGAAGTCAGTCAGTCAGAGAAAGACAAGTATCATATGACTTCACTGATATGAGGAATTTGAGAAACAAGACAGAGGATCATAGGGGAAGGGAGGGAAAAATGAAACAAGATGAAATCAGAGAGGGAGACACACCCGAGCCCGACAACCCACGCACCGTGGAGCAGAGGTAGCCGCCCCATGAGGCCGGGGCACCTGGGTTTCCCCTACAACCACACCCCCCCCCGCCACAGTCAGGGCCTGACTGTACGCTCTTCTCGGTGTGACCCACGTAATGCGGCTAGCTGCCTCCAGATCACCGGCCGCCAGGCTCGAGGAGTAAACAGCTGGGTGCCACCCCCAGGGGCTCGGCCCCACCCCAGGTTGGCCCTCGGGGCCAGCAGGGGCCTGGGGGCGGGGCCCCGGGGCAGAAGCCAGGGCCTAGGAGTGCAGCGCCCGGGGGCTGGCTCGCTTTTCCGTGAAAAAGGCCTTCAGCAGCAGCACCTGGCTGAAACTGACCACCAGCAGGGCGATCACCTCGCCGATGGACCAGCACGACACCCGGCTGCTGAGGTCTTCGGCCCGGGCCCGGTCCTGCGCCTCGCGGAGCCGGTAATGTGTCTGGGAGTCAATGACCGTCTTCAGGGCCTCGTGGATGGTCACACAGGCGGACTCCATCTGGGCAGGAAGAGAGAGGCGGTCCCAGTCTCCGCTAGACAGGACGGGAGGAATCCACGCACAGCCCCCGTGGCCCCGGGCGCCATGCTGAAGCGAGCACTGTGCGTGTGCGCTAAGGGAGGCCGCGGTTCAGCTCAGCCTCCGCACTCAGCCTATCTGGGGCTCAGGGGGCTTAGGGCCCTCGCCCAGCGTCCCACGGCAGGTGGCAGCATCAGGACCCGCCCTGACCACCTCTCACACCCGCCCCGTGCTGACACTCCTGACTCCCCACAGCCCGCTCATCCCACGTGCTGACGAGGGGACTGGGGCTCAGAGACACCGTGGGACTGGCCCCAGGTCACACAGCTAACAGCAGAGAAGTAAACCACAATCGTGCGGGACGCCCCATTCCGCTACAGTTGCTGCGGACAGTTTCACGTACACACATACACACACACACACAGGAACACACACCAAAGCATATATACCTACAAACATGCTTACACACAGATGCTCACGCGGGACACATGCTAACCTGCAACCTCCTCTCTCTGGTCCAACACCACGCGTGCCAGGCAGAACGCCAAAACCGTCCCAGCACCCCTAGGACCCCAGCACCTTCTGCTGCAGGGAACTGAACCCTCCAACAACCTGGCGGGTGTGGAACCAGATCCCTCCCAGAGCCTCATGAGGAAGTCCCACCGGCCACACCTGACCCGGCCTGGACCCTGCCAGGCGAGAGACAATACAGGGGTGTTGTCTGAGGCCGTCAGTAGTCAGCAAAGGAGAACTAACCCATGTGCCCATGGGAGGTCATGAGTTCATGCAAAACCTACAAAGTTCTATGCCAACAACACGTTCTCAGGCTAGACAAGCTCACAAAGCGTCCAGGAGACACCTGCCTCGGTCCCCAGACTGCAGAGGTGATCTGTCCACACAGTGAGCGTGAGAAGGGAGGGGAGACCGAGTCACTGCACCACCACCTGACCGACCCTAAGACCCCCGTTTCTCTCACAGACTGAACAGTGTCCAGGAGACCAATGAGAGACCCCAGCCAAGAAGTCCTGTTGGCTTATTCTCCCGGCTGGGCACTCCCTACTCTGGACCACGTGAGGAAGGATGAGGGCTTCCTACAAGGCCACGTCCTGTGTCTGCCTGACGAGCGGCCCACCTCCCAGGGCCACGGGTTCCCTCCAAACATAGGGGCCAGCGCTGTCCTTCTGGCCCATGGGGAAAAGCCACACAGATGGAACAGTGACAAGGTCACCGTGCAGAACATGGAATTCATGGGGCTCCACGGGACAGGGGGTGGAGGGGCAGAATCCACAGGAAAGAACAGGCCCATTTGGGCTTCAGTGGGTCCCCCAAGGGGTGCCTTTATCCTGCATTCTTGGTGGCATCCTGCATGCCCTGTGATCGTGGGCCAGGGCTCGCACCCAGACTGGTCGGCACCAGGCATCTTTACCCGCCCCACGTTTAGTAGGTAGTTCATACCTACAGTTGTTTGATGTTGAGAGATGGCCAACCGATCCCAGAAGGGTTCCTGACATCACAGACTTGACCCTGAAGGAGACTTCCAAGTGACAGCCACCAGCAGGACCACTCGGGGCACAGAGCTCTCTGCTGGAGGCGCGCTTCCCCCAGCTCTTCCACTGACGCCTCCAGAGCTCAGGAAAGTCACAGCCACCATCACAGAGGGAATGGGGGACCAACCCGGGAAGGACCGGGGAAGCGGCTGCAGTGTGAGGTCAGGCTTGACCCCTGTGAGCCTGTGTCCAGGCCAAATCTAGATACGGCATCTCCGGAAGCCTCCCTCTGCTCACTTGCGGTCACTACCTAGGACACAGGGAGATGTGGAGGGTCACACTGGTCCTGCGTTCACATCAGCCTGCCCATCCCCGCAAGGCCACAATCACCGACAGGGGCCGGGGGCTCCGCAGGAGCGCCTATAAGAACAAGACGGGAATTTCAGATGGCGCGGGGTTTTCTCTCATGGCCCAAACGTCCATTGACGTGTTCATTCACATTCACAGCGATCCTTCCTCAGCTCCCAGGCGCTGTGCGGGGCCCAAGGAACGAGGAGACGAATGGGTCACAGACACAGTCCTGAATGTCAACAAGTTTAAAGGAGAACAGACTGGATGCATCCCGAAAGGAGCCAGCAGGAGGGCGTCCAGAGCTGTGGGACCGCCCAGGGGACAGCTGCTAATCCTGCAGGAGGAGGGGGAGGCGCTCTTCCCACGGGAAGTGCCCAGGTGGGGGCTGTGCCTGGCGGACGGGCAGGGGAGGGGAAGACGGGCGAGGCTGCACCTGGCGGACGGGCAGGGGAGGGGAAGACGGGCGAGGCTGCGCCTGGCGGACGGGCAGGGGAGGGGAAGATGGGCGAGGCTGCGCCTGGCGGACGGGCAGGGGAGGGGAAGACGGGCGAGGCTGCGCCTGGCGGACGGGCAGGGGAGGGGAAGACGGGCGAGGCTGCGCCTGGTGGACAGGCAGGGGAGAGAAGGCAGCCGAGCAATAGAAGCGCAGGTAAGGCACAGGGAGGGCCACTGGACTCAGGGATGTGTGCGAAGAAGCATCGGGGGGGCTCACGGTAAAGGCCTCAGGATGGACCCCTCACTGCAAAGTACTGTGAGCAGGATGGCAGGTTTGGAACCCCACTTTACGAGGCCCCTGGTAGCCAGGACACTGAGAGGGGCCGGCGAGAGCCAGTCTGGAGGGGGCTGTGCTCTCTGGGGGCAGAAGAGCAGACCTGGGCACGGAGAGGACCCGGCGGCAGGCAGGTCATCCTTGAAATAGGGGGTTGGATGGGGACACACACGCACATATGTGCATGTGCACATGTGTGAGCGTATGGACATGCACATGCACTTAGTATGCATAAATACACAGACTTTATTTTTAAACACGAGAAAAGGGCTCGTTTGGGTCTCCAGGCTAGAAATCCACTAAGTTTATTTCTGTCCCAAGCTCATTCAGAAACTCTGCGCACGCTGGGCTCACCTGACCTGGGAGCACCCTGGGGGCCTGGCAGTGCAGACCGGCATGTCCAGCCCCCTCCCAGGGTCCAGAATCACTGCAAATGGAGGGAGGGACGAAGAAGAGGAACAGGGAGGACTCACAAGTCACAGGTGCAGAGGACACGCCAGAAGCCATGTAAGTCACCACCTTCAAGCCCGGGTCAGAGGTCACAGGCCAGAGACCCACACCACGGTTCTGGGAAGACAAGCCGCGGCGACTTTAAAGTCTCAGATCAGATCCATGACAGGGAAGGAGGCCAGTTCCCAGAGAGCAACAGGTGCTCACACAGCCTTCCCGGCGCGGGCCCCACAGGAGACCCAAGAGCAACACGTCACGAGATTCACAGACCCCCGGCAGCATCCCCCTCCCGTAAGAGCGGGCTCCGTCCCACCCACTGGGATCTCCCACCGGACCTACTGTCTGAAAGGCACTCCTCGGCCTGTTACCACAACATTTCAGTTCGGCAACCCGTCCAGCCTGCTTCCCACCGGGCAGGAGGCCAGCAGAATCGCTTCTCCCTGGAAGAGCCCTGCCTTCCCAGGGCCATGGGCCCCAATGGGCGGGGGCGCAGCCTTCCACTCTGCCAAGACCACCAGCCCTGGCTGCTCTCCAGAGTCTATGAGCCCCCCCCCGCCGCCAGGGATTCTGGTCACTGTTCCATCAGGACAGTCAGTCCCTGGAGACACCATGACCTGTCCCCCTCCCGGGGCTGTCCCCTTCCTCCACTGCCACACCACCTCACCCTGTCTCTACCACCTGATGATGTAACCCCCAGCAAACTCCCCCAGGCCTCGCCTCCTCAGGGCCTCCACTAGCAGGAGAACTTGGTTCTTTGCAGACTTCAAGAACGCAGAGACAGGCAAGCATGAGCTGACCTCAGAGCAGACATAGGGAAACACCGACCCCTCCCCAGGCCACCACAGAGGCAGCCCCGGGCCTCTGACCTCCGTTGGAGAGCTTCGGCCTCCGCTAGGATCTGCCCAGACCCTCAGGATGCCCTAAGCACCGGAAGCTCGGCCGCCCTGGGGGCATCCTCCCAGCCCATGCCTCTCCTGGGAGCCTGGTCATGCTGGAGCCCAAGCCGGAGACAAGTCCCCACGGCCTACAGCCACAGCCTGGACCGTGGTCACTCTGGATCCTGCTCTTTCATCCTAGTATGGATTCTGGGGCCAGAAAACATGGCCCCTAAGCCACCACTGAGCTCGAAGAGGTCTGGGGGCAAGTGAGAACTCTGTGGCCAACGGGGGACCCACACCGAGCAAGGAAAATAAGGACCAGGGAAGAAAATGAAAGTTACACCCCTACACTTGCACCTGCTGGTCCCTGACTCCCTGGGATCAACCGGCCCCTCCCGAGAGCCCTCCCATAACCCACAGCTCTGATCACTGTGCCCCACGGCTAACTGGTTTTCAGGGCTGTGTTCCCCGCGGAGCTGCCCACGCCAGGGACACGACCGTTCATCTCAGGCTGACCCCAGCCAGCACCTCGCATAGACGGCTCAAGTGCCCACCACAGGGGGGTGAGAACTCTTGGGGGCACAGACTCCCATTCAAGGCAGAGGGGTCCGGGGTTACACAGTGGAAGGAAACCCCTCATCTGAGGCTGAGCAGGGGAAAACATGAGGTCCAGCGACGTAGTGGGGGGAAATGTCATCAGTCTTTCTGCAACAAAACCAAATCTAATTCTAAGGCTCCAGGAAAGAATTTCTCTGTTGCAGTGACCAACCATGCAGGCTTTTCTCTACCACTCTGTTTTCCACTGGTAAGAGGGAAGCCCTTGAGCTCAGCTTCTAGAGAGTTTCAAAATCTCCAGCATGGAGGCTTTTCATCAGCGACAACAGAACTCTCTCGAGTACAGGTTGTGAAAGCTGCCGCACAGAACCCGCCTGGGCTGGATCTTCCACCAGAGGTCACATGGCCAGGCTCAGACCCAGTGCTGCCCAGCAGGACTGTCCATGTGTGGCCACTAGCCACCTGTGATACCGAGCACCAGAAATGCTGCTATAGAGCAGCAAGGAAGGGAGCTTTTGATTTAATTTTAATGCATTTAAATTAAAATAGCCTCATGTAGCCAGACCATGATACTGGAGAGTGCAGCACTAACCTTCCACCATGCATGGGGAGGGCAGACGAACCCACGGGCAGAGCCACAGAGGAACAGAGTGGGGACCCCCTGGAGGCAGCCCAGAAGGTGCTCTGGCCCTGCCTGGAGACTCAGACACTCTGGCTTTGGTTCAAGAACAGTGCAGCCACCACAGTCCTTCCTGTCCTGCAGGATTCCCTGGGCCCTGCCTCTCAGTGATTTGACAAATAACGCCATGCCAAGCTCCAAGCACTGGGACTCAGGGACATGACACGGAATGCGAGCCTCGGGAAGCTGAGAGACTGCAGATGAGAGGCAGGAGCTTTACTAGCAGGGGGGAGACCGGTGAAGGAGCCCGGGATCAGATTATCATTGACCCCGAGAGGCACACATGACAGAGATGATGATCTGCCAGGCCTCCCTGCATGCAGATGTGCCACACCACCATTTGTCAGCAATGGGACGTGAGTGCACGTGCTGTGCGTCACTTCTGGGCCAGGGTGTTTAAGAAACAGCTGGGGCTTTCTCGCTGCTCCCTTCTTCTGGTGGCCAGACGCAGAGGGGCCTGAAGCCCTGACAGACAGCAGACAGATGACAAGAAAGAGAAACCCCGATTCTTGAGTCAGTCCCTTAGGCCATCAACACCTGGGGCGTAGCGGCTCACACTACCTGAGCAAGCATACAAAGCAGGCCTTTGGTCTTAATGACGCAGACATATGGTGTAAGCAGAGGGGGGCACGGCAAGACCCTTCCACAGTGGTGCTGCGTGGAAGACTGAGCCGGAACCCAAGAATTCCAGAGGAAAGTCCTGCAGGGATCCGGCAAACAGTGCAGGGGGCTCAGAAGGGGAAGGTGTGCTTGAGGACCGGATGTGCAAAGAGGTGAAGCAACCCTGAGCCTTCCAGCCCGGGGGGCTGGGGGGAGGGGAGGGGGTGGTGACGCCGAGCATGGGCCAAGGCAGGAAGAGAAGAGGAGGAACAGGCTGAAGGCTGAGCCGGCCCAGGCCGGCCCATGTCCACTCACCTGGGTGAGAGCTGTGACCCTGTTCCCCATGTCTGGGAGAATGGGGGGCTCATCGCCCACTTGAAAGTCAAAATAGACGGTCTTGTGAGAGAAGGTGGAAAACTCATTACTGAAGCAAAACTGATAAACACCCTTGACCTCAGCCCGGTGCGTGAAGCTGTCATACTGCTTCTTGGTCTCCTGGTAGATGGTGTTCCCCAGGGGGTCCTCCACGTAGCAATCCACGTCGTAGTGGCCTCCGGTGATGACCTACAACCACAAAGACACTCACAGTCGGCCATGACCAGCGGGGCAGCCGACCAGACACCGGGATCAGACTTTATGAACTTTTTTTTCCACGTAATCTTCACAACTTTCTGAAGCAGGTGCTAGGACCCTCTCTGTTTTACTGCGGACTAGACTGAGGCTAAGAGAGATTCAGGAAATCGGCCATGGTCACACTGCTTGAAAGTAACAGGGCTAAGATCTGAATCCCTGACTGCCTGACTCCCAAAGGTTTTGCTCTGCAAGGGTGCAAGGAGCTTGATCCTTCCCATTTTACAGAAGAGGAGACTGAGGCTCCAAGCTCAAGTAGATTGCAGAGGGGGTCTAGTAAACGTTCCTATTATTACCGATCGAATGCAAGAAGGCAAATACAGATTAAAGCATTCACAGACTCAGTGGCAATCAGAGCTGAGAGGGTCCTTGGGAATTACCTAGTTCAAACGAGCTTTATAAACCTAAGAAAGATGTCATACAGCAGGGTCATACAGGCGGTCAAGGGCTATAACCAAGGTCCATCAAGGGACACAGTCCCTTGAACCAAAGCAGCCTCTATCTGCTTCCAAACTTCAGAAGTTCCTTTTTGTGCAGATGGGAGGAGAATTCACTTTGTGAAGTGGTGAGTGCCCTGTTGCTGGAGGTGTTTACACCGTGCTGACCATTCTTTACAGGGGATTCCTCACGTAGCAGTGACCGGGTGACCTCCCAGGCCCCTCTAGTCTCATAATGATCATTCTGTAGTGACTATGCCTAGGGGGGTGGGGGTGGGGTTAACCCAGCCACAATTTATATGTTGTGCAACCCAGCGGCCGTCCCACACCACGCTGTCCCCAAGTACACGCCTCTTTTGATGGCTCTGGACAGCGAGGACCCACGCACGGCCTGCCCTCACTCCTGCTGCCCAGGCCACTTCATGCCCGGAGTGTCCACGAGCAGGTGGCTGCCCTGGGGACCCTTCCCACTCAGCCCCCAACCCTAGGTCTGCCCGCCCCCGGCACCCGCCCCCACCGCGTGTCCTGAGGTCTGTGAGAGGGGAGCCGAGGGCAGAAGCTGGCGGCGGCGTGTGGCAACACCACAGCTCTGCTCACCCGACGCCCAGCTGCAGATGCGGAGCAGCGTGGGAACGACACCCCGAACCCACTTCCTCCCCACTGGCGCATGTGAGTACACACGGGACCAAGGACCCCAGACGCGTGGAACCGGGCGCGCCGGCGGCCAGTGCGGTCGCTGCCCGGGATGCAGGGCCCGCGCCCCTCCGGCCACCGAGCAGGGCGCCGCGGGGGCCGGCCTCACCTGGTAGTCCAGGGAGAACCTGGCGCCCCGCTCCACATCCTCGTGGAAGCACTGCTTGGCGCTGTCCGGCAGCTCGAAGGTGAGCTCGGCGCCCGGCAGCCGCTCGGCCCGGAGCAGCACCAGCAGCAGCAGCAGCGGCGCCGAGGCCGGGTGCGAGCCCGCGCGGCCCATGGCGCTCCGCTCGGGTCTTGTAGGGCCCCCGCCCGGCGGCGGCTGCGGGAGGCGGGGCACGCGGGGCGCGGACGTGGCGCGGCGGCCGCGCTTCCGGGAGCACGGGGGGCCTGGTGCGCAGCCGCGCGTGTGGAGAGGCACCCCGCCCCTTCCCCGCTGCGCGTGCGCGCTGGCTGAGCTGGCAGGCCACGCCCCTTCCCCCCCCCGCGGAGCCCTGCTCGGCGGGGGGCCTCAGTGGGGTGGAGTGGCGTGGGGGCGCCCTCGGCTGGGGCCTCGCGGAGTCAGCATCCCTCCGGGTCGGCCCAGGTCCACGCCCCCCCCACCACCACTAGGAGCCACAGTGGCTGCACAAAGCACGGGGGACCGCCGTAGGGGGGGGCAGCCCAGCACCATGCGCGCGCGCCCAGCAGACGCTGTCCGCACCTCCGGGTCCCGCGGGGTGCAGCGTCCCCTGGGCTCGGACCAGGTCCACACGCCCCCCGCCCCACCAGCCACAGAGGCCGCAGGAAACGCGGGGGGCTCTGCCGCGGAGGTCCCGCACCACCCAGGAGGACCGGCCTCGAGGTGCAGCAGTGGGCGTGCCCGCACCGCAGGAGGCTGCAGGAACCAAGCTTGGGAGCCCAGTGAACACACCATTCCTTCCCCGGTGCAGGGGCTGCGGCCAGTGCTGGGAGCTGACCCGCGCTCTCACACCTGCGCTCACGTGTTTGCCAACAAGGGTCTTACCCTCGGCGACGCAGATGTCTAACGATCAAGACAAGGTGAAGCTTCTTCTGGGATAAAACCCTCTTTCTTTCCCTTTGACTTCTCAAAAGCCCCGAAAGCTGTTAAATTGATTCACTGCTTAATCCATTACCATTGGCCCAAGAAGATATTTTATATGATCATTACTACAGGGTTTTATATTCTATGATCAGGTAAAACAAAGAGAAAAACACCGATTGTGGTCTGGCTATTCAGTTAAGAATGTTTTCAGGACAGCGTTATCAGATGGGTGTCTTGATTTCAGCCAAGATCAGTACGGCCCTTATAGACCTCCATGTGGATGAGAGGGAAGGGACTGCCACCCGGCACACTGGACTGTGCATTAATGTGCTAAGCGATGTGAAAGCAATCCGTACTCATAATGTCGTTGTTAATATTTACTGACTCTGTACCATACTCAGAGAAGGTGTGGAGGGGTGTGCCTTCAGGCTCTTTCGCTGGCTCTGTGCTGTTGAACATTATTTCTTAGTTCCTGACTTAAGGAAACATGTAAGACGCACCAAGAGAGGAAACAAATGACAGATGTAAGAGCAAGATGAGCTTGGCCAGCTGGAGTGCTAAGCTAAGACTAACTAAAAGGAATTTTGCCGGGTTTAATGTTAAGTCCCATGTTTAAGTTCCAAGAAAACACCTGCATAAGTTCAGAGGCGGGAATCCTGACTTGGCAGTCGCTCAGGCCGGAGCATTGGAAGACTGATCATCGACAGGTGGCAGAATGTCAGACGGCGGAAATGGATGAACTGGAAAAGGAGCCCTGACTTGCGCGGGGTTAATAAAGGAACAGCGCTATTTCAGCACCTGCTCCGTGGAAGGTGCTGTTGCTGGAGGCGACCGCTGGGCGGTCACAGGCAATGATCAGAGCACCTGTGTTGTACTACTTTAGGAAGGACAGCAATAAAATGGGGGGGGGTGGTAATTAGGAGGGGGCCAGTATAGTAAATTGCCAGGAAGACTTCTCAAACCAGGTAAAGTCAGAGGAAACAGGATTGAACCTCAAAGAATAAAAATCTAAGGGTGAAGAAAGTGTTAACTTTGCATTAACAGTTTGCATTAACAGCAATCATGACAGCTACCTCTTCTTTAGCACGCAGTGCTAGCTACATATGCACTTTACGTATTTTGCATTAATTAATTCTCACTAGTAACTGGCAAAAAAACTATTATTTTTTTCCTTTGACAATAAAGACACAGAAGATGTTTAATGAAATCACATTTCTGCTTCTGTCGGCCTTTGCTGTGTGACAAACTACCCAGTGGCTTAAACCGACAATGACTCACAATTTCTCATGATTGCATCGGTTGGCTGGATGGTTCTTCAGCTAGTTTGGCTTGAGCTTATTCCTGCAGCTGCCTTCAGCTGGAGGGTCTTCTGGGCTGGAGGCCCAAGGCGGTCCCACTCACATGTGTGCCAACTGATGGGGGCTGTTGGCTAGAGCGCTCAGCCCTCCATGCATCCTGTGCTTCTTGCAGTGTACCTGATTTCCTTATGTGACAGGCGTGGGGCAACATCCCAAGACAGCCAGGGCAGAAACAGCAAGCCCCGCCCCCAGGAATTACTCTCCAGTATCACTTTTGCCACATTCTGTCAGCCAAAGCAAGTCCTGAGGCCAGCCCAGATTCAAGGTAAAGAATTAGACTCCATCTCTGGATGGGAGGAGCTCTAAGTCACATTCAGAGGAGGAGCGTACTGGGGTGGCAGGAATTTGTGGCCGTTAAACAAACTGCCATATTGCCCAAACTCAACTCAGCTTATTAATGGTGAAGCAACTGAACCCAGATCTGCCTGACTCTAAAGATAGCATGCTTCCCACCAAGCACTCTGTGTCCACCCGTACCTCGGGTACATCTGTCCTGCATGTCCCATCTTGTGTAACTTGGGACAAAGCATGAATCTGACAGTGAGGTACATTTCAACTCAACATAAGAAAGGAATTTCTGGCAATTAGGGCTTTCCAAAAATTAATGAACAGGGGGTACTGATGTATTTGTCGTATTAAAATATTCAAGCAGAGACTGAATAAACAACCAATTCACATGGTGTCCCAAGTAAATGAAAAACCAACTCTAACTAGATTAGATGACACAAGAATATCTTGTTTCCTGTAACAGAAAGTTCAGATGTGATGCAGGCTGCAGGCATAGCACGATCAGGGCTCTGGTCCACTTTCCTCCCAGCTCTACCCCCTTCTTCATGTTGGCTTTATCCTTAGACTCTATTCTCTCATTGTCAAAAGAGGGTTGTCAAACCAAACAAATAAGCTTTGAGACAATATGTTTATTTGGTCATGTCTCGTGGAAGGAAGAGAAAACCTTTCAACCATGGGACGTGTGTCCTTTCCTTCAGTCCAGTTGGCCCAATTAGGCCATGCATCCATCTCTGGATCTAAGGCACTGACACGAGGAAAGCCGCATGGTGGTTGGCTTAGGCTAGATCCTTTAGCCAATTGCTGATAAGGAGAATGTCATGATTAACTCAGGCCAATCAGGGCTTCCCTTGGAGGGAGCTGGGGATAGAGCAGCTTAGCTTCAGTCAAAAGAGAGGCAAGGATATTGAGTGACTACATGAACAAAATCAGGATCTAACAGAAAGGAGGAGAAGGGAGAAATCAAACCAGATAGGCAACCAACAGTGCCTACGGCAGCAAAAAAAAAAAAAAAAATGGATTAAGTCCTTATTCTAATGGGATAACTAAAAAATTAATTTAGACGCTTATCTCTCACCATATGAGAAATCCTTTGTGCTCTAGATCAGGAGTGTTTGTGATTCTGGGTCCATCATCCTGGGTGAGGCAGAGGACTCCAGAATGGAGATCCCAGGGGGTACTCCTCCACGGGCTGTTGCTTTGGGCTGGTTCACACTGGCAGGACCTTGACCTCTTGGGTCCTTTCATATTCCCTCTCCCCTTCTGTTCCTCTTCCTTCCCCATCCTTCCACATAATGCCGACCTTTGTCACCAGTGGGCGGTGCTACATTTCTACTGTAGGACTTCAGACCCCCTGGCCACACTTAGTCGATCCCAGAACCACCTGCACCCAAGGATTCCCAGTGAGAACTGTCAACACTAATCCCTCTGTGGACCTGACCCAGTATTGCTACAGCTGCACAACAATTACCTCCCTTTTGTTCCCTGAAGTCTGAGGACTCCGCCCCCTCTGGCAAATTCCAAGTGTGACACAGGTTTCTTCCTTCCCAGCTGTGCATGCCATGGGCTCTAGAGCACGGATTACTATGAATTTCATTTCATTACCATTGAATGTAAGAAGCATCACACTTCTTTACTTTTCTAAATCAAATTAAAATGGATCTTGCCCGCCATCCCCCACCTTAACAAAGACAGTAAGAATGTCCCTCTCGGTCATGGAGGAGTCCCGTTCTGTGGCGGTCTTCAACAGTGCACAGTGTTCGGGCTCACCAGTCACGCTGATGTGTGCACTGTCCAAGCTGCAGCGTTCCTTCAGGGCAAGCAGCTCCCATGCCCTCCTGCCCAGCTTGACCCCCCGCCCAGCTGCCCGGGATGCACCATGCAGCCTCTCCCCTCTGTGGTTTTGCTCTGGAAGGAGACAAGTTCCACTCAAGGGATCCCAAGTTTCTAACCTTCTGTCAATCTTGGAAATGCCCCCTCTCCCTCCAGGTGGACCCCTGTGGCCTCGTCCCTCATCACTTCTCCCCCACCAGTCCCATCAGTTTCTCCTCCCCCAGTGGAGTCCCTCATAATCTCTCCTCTAGGGGTTTAGAAATGACGTGGGCCTGCCTTTCTTGAAGACAGATGTGGGAAACAGACATACTGAAACTAGTCCTTTTTTTTTTTCTTTTTGTTAACGTAAGTTATTTCAGTAGTCTAGGGGAGAACCTAAAGGTAAGGTTTGAACTGTCCAGAGAATGAGGGAGTGCAGATGAAATGTGAATCTCAGACCCCGGACTCTAAGAGGCAAGGGCTAGACACTTGACACTTATGCCCTGTCCTTGAGCAGGAGCTTATGTTAACACTCATCGACATTAGACGTAGGACCCAAGGAGGGAGATCCAGCGACGGCAGCATGTGGTAGCCCCCTCTGCCCCCCAGGGACCCCAAGCAGTGGGGGCAGAGAACAGACACCCACCTCTCACCGTGGAAATGCACCATCTTGTCCTTTGCCTTTGGTTTCACCAAGAAGAAACTATAATACTTGTGAAAGTAAAAATTAATTTTTAAAATTATGTGTAAAATATCAGGCGTCTGCTAAGGTTGATGTTCCCAGGAAGTCGTGTCAACCCCATCGTAAGGAAAAAG